AGCTGTTTGGCATCATAGTGCTAGTGTTCTAACCTGTGGGGGTGGAAAGTACACATTTAGCAAAGATCTATCATACTTGTGTAATAAATCAACAATTTTACAAGGTTGCAGCTATACTTGCAGCTATACTTGTACTCTATTCTGTATTCCGGTATTCCGGTCAATTCAAAGTTCTGGCTCTAACGTATTCCGCTAAATGACGAGAACTTACAAGGTTACCTAACATAACTTATTTACCATCCTACTCTTGCTCTGAGGGCTGCCCACGACCAGTCGCAAAAACAGAGTTGACATGAAGATCCTTTTCAGTCGCTGCTCTTAAACTATGGAATTCATTGCCCCATGAACTAAAACCTGCAATATCAGTCGAGATGTTCAAAACAAGTCTGAAAACCCACCTCTTTACAAAAGCTCACAGACGTCACTCTTGACATTGCTGACACAAGGGCCGCTGAGCAGCTGCAGCTGGAATATAGGCGCTCTACAAATTCAGTATTAATTTTTACAGATTAAGATGAAAAAGGCAGCAGAGAGGGTTCGGGTGATCCTGGCACGGTCAGACTGGTAACGGTCATCATCAGCTCAGGGCCTTTACCTCTTTCAGACGCAGCCCAGACAGCGAATGGGACTTCTCCCAGGAAAGGCTGCCTAGTCGAACCCACCACGAAATGTCCGGAGAATATGTAGACTCCCCAACACTCCCCAGCCTTCTGCATTACTCGGAGTGTCCGAAGGGTTGTGCTCCCGACGGAGAACACGGGTGCTCTCCTGGTCTGCGCCAAGACATCAGGAGGTACCAAACCAAGGGCACCGAGAACAATGGGGAGTCTGACGACAGTGTACTTGGGATGCAAGCGAGCCATTTCAAAGGCGAGGTCCGCATATTTATGCTTTTCCTGAATATTGCCAATCACATTGCTGTCAAAAGGGACAGAAAATTCAATTATATAAATGTATTCATTAGCTTTCAAAAGGGACAAGATCAGGTTTGTTGGCTAGAATTCTTCTGAGGCTGTATATAGGCCTATTCCAGAGAAGTTTAAAAACATCATTTTCCATGACGCCCTGGACATGTTCAGGGTCGTAGCAAGGAAGGGCATCCACTGACAAGGAGTTGGACAGTCTCTGTAAATTCATTACACAGTCGGCATTTCAAGTTAATATATTCTTTCAGAATCACATTTGGGCGATTGCGTGTGGGAGTGTGTGACTGGTCCTGAGCAGCAAAACGGAAGCCCTCAGTTTCACATTTAAGGCTATCCGACTTCATCCAGGCGAAGGAGTCGGTTGGATTGCTATTCTGTTCCACAAACCGCATGTACACACGATGCAGTGCTTCTCAGAAAGCTTCTCTACAAATGATCGACTCTAAGCAGACTTGTTGGAGGACTTCACCTGGTTTACTCCTATCGCTTGCATCGTCCAGCAGTACATCGCCATCAACAAAATCAACCTTAAATTTTTAGATTCTGTCCAACAACCTTGGCACGCTTGAAGTCACGAGTATTCACATGCTTTATCCAGAGTAATGAATTTTATTAATGAGCTTATACAAAATTCACATCGATACAAAATGAACTGTGTGGACGACATTATGCCATTATTGATACAAGAATATATTTCAAATATGAGGTTGAATCGGAATATAATTGCAAATGAAACCATGTCAGCATTAAATGTTCCTATGACAACCTCTGTTCATTCTGTTGATCACCGGGTTGTCTGGTGCAGACTTGACTTCTTACATAGCGCCGCCATGTAGCTGGAATATTGCTGAGTGCGTCTTTTAACAACACACAATCAATAATGTGTTAGAGTTGTGTGTTTAATAGTACTAATGTGTATGTCAAAAACTGAAGATATTGTTATCACATTATTAACCAACATGATAACAGCGGTATCTAGAAAAAACCAAGTCTTGCTAAAACAAACCAATATACACTGATGTAAACACAACTTCAGGAAGTTTTGTTCAACCCATCTATGTATGATGAATTGATTATATACGGGTGTGTTTGAGTGTGGTGGTGGTGGTGGTGGAATTGGGTTTAACGTCGTGCTTGAGAATATTTCGCTCATATGACGACGTGCATGCGTGTGTATGTGTATATGCGGCTGCTTGTACTAGCCCAGACTGAAGCTGGTCTTATAGTGCTAGCCCACTGAGATACCATGCCGCAGTGAAGCATGAATACCCCACTCAGACACATTATACTGACTCCCAGCCGACCAGTCCTTGTTGTATCTATTAATGCCGAGCCCCAGGCAGGGACCAACAAGTACCATATTTTAACGTCTTTTGGTATGACGCGGTCTTGGATCGAACCCGCGAGCTTCCGCACTCCGGGCGGACGCTCTAACCACTACACCAGGCGGTCTGTGTTTGTGTGTACTCGTGTTGACGTGAATATGTAACGTAGATTCGTGCAATGATTTATCTGTTTGTATCGATAGTTACCATCACCCATGTAGCTTGTCTGAAGGTTACAACACATTTTGATTAGAATGTCAACATTGTGCAATATTCTGTTAGTGTTTCATCAGAATCTCGCAAAAGGCCCTCTTGTCCATAATGATAGTTAATAGTCTTTGAGACCAGTATAAACATTCTGTACTGCCTGAGTGTTGACAGACGGCGTTTGATGGCAAAGTTTGCCGTTAGTTAATCAACAGTGTTGAAATTACGATGCAAAACATGTCAAATAAAAAGACAAAACAACACTATGACCATTTTGATGCGTCCTATATCTGCTGTTGTGTGTCTTTGGGTCAAAGCGTGGTTGTATTTTAACATGTAGTGCATTTGCATGTTATTCAAAACCAACATGATATAGACAGACAAACAGATAGAGAGACAGATACTTTGTCCAATGGATGTTTGCGAGCATCCTCGTAGGGAGGCTGGCTTTAAGGCAGGTAGGTCGGTGATGCAAACGATAGAGTTATTTTACGAATTGAAACGTAACTACACAAAGTAGGAAGCATTGATGCCAAATCTATTCTGGCCAACATATGTGTCATTAATTCACGTTTGGCCACACTGAAAAACATCAACCTACAAAGAGCCTGTTCAAAGCTGAGAAGAACGTTTTCACGTTTAGAACCTTGCCAATTCAAGGGCTGTGGTAACGTGTATTTCCTCAATACAAGAGGATAATCATGTGGAAACATGCGCGGTGTATGAGTTCCAACTACACAGGTTCCTCTGTTCTTTGACGTTACACATATAATCATTTAACTGAATAGATAGCATGATAAATACGTGTATTTGATGGCAATTGTGTTGCTGTGAGTTATCCTGACTAATCAAGCAGCTACGTGTGACAATGTCGTTGTCAGTAGGCCAGGTGAGTTTTGTCATTAACCTAAGCTTTCCATAGCTAGTCTGTTAATGAACACTGACAGTTTTGTCAATATTAGTTTCGATATATGGTATGTTTGAACAGCAAAGTAAACTGACAAACCAACGCGACTCTAACGTGTTTATCCCATTAGTCGTACTGAACTAGTACTTAACTGTGGGAATACTGCATGTGCCTACATTGGTACAGAACCCTAAACTTCAGTTTCAGTTGAATATCCAGGGATACAATCAGAAACACAGGCAATGGGAGCTAAGGCAATACCCGGTAATGAGTCAGAAAATGATGATGAAAAAATTGGCCGCCTATGGACAGAATTTGCACAAACTACAGGATTCCATGGAGTAAATAAGCTTGTGTCAAGACGGAATATAAGGCTACGATGGTGAGTCAACTGATCTTCATTCGCGATCAAACTAACATGGTTCACCAGTTGACATGATGTCACGTCCGACGTTAGTTGATAAACAGAGCAAGAAAAACAGCATCTTTAACACTTATTTCTATTTATTTTCTATGCCTTTTCTCTGGTGGTATTTTGTTGAAATACATATATATATATACAAAATATACAATGCGCTTACAAATACTGATGATACTGTTGTGTCACTGATCTGCCCGGCTCCGGCCATTTAGTTAATCATAATAACTTGAATATGACTTTAAATTCAGTTTGTGTTTGTTTCTGGTTTTCGATATTGCAGAATGAATTCTGGATAGTCAGCATTTGTGACGTTACATGTTATGTTTCTATATTCATTATCAAACAGGTTCTAATGTTACTCACGTTTTTCCGCAAATTCAGTTTGCTGCCACGTTACGAATATCAGGTATACGAAATTTACGGCCGCAGGCTGACATACTAACACTAACACTACCCACGGGGATAAATATATTTGCCACAATCAGACGCAATTGCTGATGGGACATAAACGTATTGATAGATAAAAAAGTTCGTTTTTTGCACATCATGCCCCCACGTTGGCATCTATACAAAGCACTGGTATATATTTTTTCGACTGGCTGACTGACTGAGTTTGGTTTTACGCCGCTTTAAGCAATAATCCAGCAATATCACGGCGGGGGACACCAGAAATGGGCTTCACTCTTTTTTTTTTGACAACAACAAGGGAACTTTTGGAAATATCCGCCATTCTTTAGAAGACTTTGAAACAGTTACTAAGAGCTTGAATTTTCTAACCAGATCATCACCATGGTCGATTGTTCACGTACGAAAAAAACCGTGAAAGTCCGGGTTAGAATTGGCCTTCAGCAACCCATGCTTGTCGTAAGAGGTGACTAACGGGATCGGGTGGTCGGGTTCGCTGGCTTGGTTGACACATGTCATCGGTTCCCAGTTGCGCAGATCGATGATCATGCTGTTGATCACTGGATTGTCTGGTCTTAACTCAATTATTTACAGGCCGTCGCCATATAGCTGGAATATTGCCGAGTGCGGCGTAAAACTAAACTCACTCCTTTACGTACGAAATATGTATACAAACAATTCTGGCATTCCCTCCGTACACACATTGCTTGAATTGAACTTGGCCCAAATTCAAGTCACTCCGAAATCATCCCAAAAATTTCCTTGACAGTATCTGGTGGACCTTCGCAGTGTTGCTGATGTCTGCCTACATGTCGTATAATATATCGCAAGAGCTGATAAACTACTACAGTTACCCAGTCATCACCAGCACGAAGGTGGAACTCCGAGAAGAGCTCCCCTTTCCAGCTGTTACCTTCTGCAACCAAAGTCCTTTCAACCTGACTGCTGTCAAAGAAGCTGATCCATATTTGGAAAATTATTTCAATAGCGCCAGCCTGCTTGGGAGTTTTAATGGTCCAGTCAACTGGAGTGACCCGGGATACGGTTCCACTTTCTCAAAACGGCACAGTCTGGATTGGTGGAAGAAGATATTCATGAATCTAAGCAAATCACTCGAATTTTGCATCATGAAAAATGGTTGGTGTATGGAAGCTTTGAAGCCAGTGGTGACCAACATGGGGAACTGTGCAACATTCAACTGGAATGCTTCTGATATTGCTAAAGTGAGAGTCACGGGCTACGATAGTAACCTCATCATATTTGCCAATATCCATCATGATAAGTATGTGCTTGGTTCACAGATGGCGGCTGGTTTGAGGGTAGGTACACTTTGATTTTTGTTTTTGGGGTTTGTATTTTTTGTTTTTTTGCGTTTGTTTGTTTTGTTTGTTTGTTGTTGTTGTGTTGTTGTTTGGGGGGTTTTATAACAGAAGATACGGAAATGTATATCAAATGTGAAATGCATGTTGGAGATAACCGTCCACCAATAATACTCGCATGCATTTTTTTCTGCTCTTTTGTCAAAGATTTGACAAAGATGACGTCATGTATGTCTAGGTGATTCTGCACGATCCCCGTATTCACCCTGACGTTGCGACATCGTCGTTCTTGGCAGCTCCGGGTACGTCAACGTATGCAGTCGTGAAAAGATCTACGGTTTGTAATGCACTGTTGTTAATATTCCCCAAACTGTGGTACCACCCATATGCGTTAAGTGTACTATGAATGTACGTTTATTTCGAATTTACTACTGTTGAAATAACATGTAAGGGCATTTTGTGCACACTGTTCAACGACACAAAAGTGACCACATTTACTTTTTGGACACCTGGAATTCAGTAAATGTGTTTCGGTATGGCTGTTTGTGCCAGGCACCTTTGTTAATGCAAATACCTTTCGTGAATTAACCATTTAGTTCGTCCGTTTCCTGTAGCTTCAAATGACATTTCCGACCTTGAAACCTGAATATCTCTCTGTTACAATATTAACCAGATGAATTGTTTCACAATATTAAAATACTTGGCATTACGACGTAAAAAATCTGTCCGAACTCTGAGGCATTGGGCCTTAATATACTTTGTTATAGTCCGTTTGGCTCAAAAGCGGACCGATGAATTGCAGTCTAACTCGAAAACTAATAAACATAAAATACTCAATGAATCGCTGATCATAATCAAAACATCAGACCAACTCTGTGATTTGTTTGCAGAATTTATGTTCTAAAGTTTAAAATGTTGTTTAACAAACTATCATTAAAAATTTGACACAGTTCACTATTTGTTACGGGGGAGGAGTGCAGAGAAAGGGACAGCCAGGTGTTAGAGAAGCAAGTGCCGACAACGTTATTGATTCATTAACCTGTGATGTGCCGTCTCCATCCTTTCTCGCACACCTGGCTGTCCCTTTCTCTGCACTCCACCATCGTAACCAAAAGTGAAATGTGTCAATAATTTAATGATAGTTTGTGAAACAACTTTTTTGTTTTTAGGACATAAATTCTGCAAAAACCTAACAGAGTTGGTCTGAGGTTTTGATTATGATCAGAGTTTCATTGAGTATTTTATGTTTATTAGTTTTCGAGTTAGATTGCAATTCATCGGTCCGCTTTTGAGCCAAACTGACTATAATACCGCTGATTACTACAGGAAATAACCAAGTGGTTCACTTTCACTCAAATGGTCAAAGAACACGGATAACACACTTAACACCAAACTAACCATGGATATATAATGTGAATTATAATCTATTTGGATTATATTTTAATTCATAATGTTATTTATTTATTTTGTTTGATGCAGTTCCAATACCTACCTGCACCCTACCTTTCCTTTGGGAATAGAACATGTGTAGACACGTCATCTCCTACGTTCAATAACACACTAGAATATCACGACTTGTATACGTATGAAACCTGTCTCGATGAATGCTTCACAAGGATTATCTTCAACAAGTGCGGGTGTGTCAGGCCTTCGGACCACGGTGAGCACTAAGGACACTGGTCAATTTTCGACCATCAATAACATCGTCCTACAACATTCTTTTGCGGTTAAATTATATAAAATGTTGGCAAGGGTGGTTTTATTAATGTTCGTGATAAATTAGAATTACATCATTCGAAATATAAATGAATAAACGTTTCAAACATTATTCAGGCTTTTATCCAACCATTGAACGTGTATTTGATGAATGATGAATGGAAAATACAGATGGCGTTATAGAGAAATGGCATTCCTGTTTACGCAATCGCACATTGTATTTAGCTTCGATATAGGTTGTTTAGTAATAGTTAACTCGGGAAAAGCTTTATTTTGATTGGTTACAATGGTGTCTCAAATTCGCATGTGGTGCCCCAGAGAAAATTTTAGTAATTTTCTCTCAGATTGTATTATATACATAATAATGGTATCCTCCCAAAACTTCCACACCTTATAACAACAACATTTCTGGTTGACTGCACACACTTTAGCATACTGATTACCCAGTCTGTAATGGTTTAATCCATTAATCAGTAATGAATACAGAGAAGAGTAGAAGAACAGGCTGTGATAGGGCCGTTACGGTGGTAACATACCGTCACAGTGTCACTGCCGTAACATGCAGTCTTTACCTGTTTTTTTATTAAATGACAGGGACATCCATAAGTAAATCTTTTGCCTATTACATATTCTTTAAACATTCTGAAATATCTTTTAACGTAAACATGTAAAACTGGCTATTATTAAAATGTCACTACCGTTATTATGTCACTACCATAATAATTAATGCCAATGTCCATACCATAACGATACAATTTTCCATATTTAATTAAAACTGATTTATGTGTTTGTGCCTGGATTTGGTAGTGCAATTATGTTTGATAATAGAGCTTCAAGTAAACATAATGCAAGTCATATTCTCATTTTGATTTTTGTTTGCTACATATAACTTTATATTTGCCAGTCAGATTTTAAAGGAATTGTTTGGCTTGTTGGCTCCTTTTAAGCAATAAATATAAAATTACAAAACTCATTAGCCATGTTAAATTGTAAACCTACATATTTTAATATACATGTACATTAAGTGTACTTTAAGCTTGAAAATTTATGTTTTGTATATTCAGAATACTATTAACGTAATCAACAACATTTCAAGTTAAAACAAGAAAACAAAATTTACAATTTTTGCCTACATGAAATATTATATATATTGCAGATTTATTAACTAACTGCTCTCTTCTCTATTTGAAACTTTACTCTGCTAAGTCGGGTGATGTATCATTATCTGTTGTTTCAGTTCAGTGCACTGCTTGGGTTATCCTATTACTTACAAAGGGGTGGTGAGCAGTTGTTGTTTTAACAATGTGTTGTAGTATTGGGATGTGGAAGTTTAGGGATATAACCTGTTCAAAATTCATAGTGATAGTGACGACAACAGGCAATACAATGGTGACACCAGTGAAACAATCACTTTAAAGGATTGTGTATCGGCAAAAGCTCGACTGATTACTAAATGGCATTAAATGGAATATCTTGAAAAGGATTTAGTATTCATACTCAATCCTGTTGTTTCCAGGAACCATGGGGGAGATATGTTCCATCATTGAAGCTTACACCTGCTATTGGCCAACATATAGTTAGTACACTTTCCACGTAATCTCACCACAACATCAATTGCATCATTTGGCTGGCTCTCTTTGTCTGCTTAAAGTTCTACACTACCATGACATTTTCCCTAAAGCTTTCTCTTTAATATATTATTTAACATTTACGGTTTTTATGTTTTGGCTAATGTAATAATGGTCCAGTTTGAATTGTAAAGGTATGGTTCCTATCCTTTACTTTACAGGTAACGTCTCGCAAAACCCAGATGTACATTCAGAATGTGGCTGTGAAATCCCATGTAATTTTGATACATACGAGACAAAGGTGTCGTCTTCAAAATTCCCATCCAACGTCTCTATACAGTACATAATTGACCTCGGTTACAGTGGCAACGAAGAAATCCTAAGGTTTGTATAATCATTTGTCACCAAGTACGTGTTTCAGACTTTAACAGGTTTTCATAAAGATCTCCAGAAATAAATTGAATTCATGGATGGATTTTAACATTGTAAACGGCGGAATATTAATCATATATTTTATATCGACCAAATAATTAGCAAGTATTGAACGATCCATGCATTTCAAATGTCATATTAATAAATGCATTGCACTACTACAACAGTGAGTGTGTGAGTTTAGTTTTAGGCCGCACTCAACAATATTCCAGTAAATAATCTAGACTGGACCAGACAATCCAGTGATCAACAACATGAGTATCCATCTGCGCAATTGGGAACCGATGACATGTGTCAGCCAAGTCAGCGAGCTTGACCACCCTATCCCGTTAGTCGCCTCTTGCGACAAGCATTGGTTACTGAAGATCAATATTCTAACCCGGACATCCAAGGGTCCACTACTACAACAGACGCTTAGACGATGTTCATTTCTACATACATTATGTTCATTGAATCATTGTCCCTCGTGTACATTTTCAGAGACAACTATTTGGAAATAAGAGTTTACTTTGAAAACCTCATGCTCCAGGTAACTGAACAAATCCCAAAGTATACCACCGAGACCGTCATAGGTATGTGAACTCCAAATCTTAACATGTTGTAACTGAAAGTTGTTGATATTTGAACAGTAAAAACTATAAATGTTGTAATATCAGCTTCTCGTTTATGCACTTGTTTAAAATTGTTCAATGTTCCTTTTGACAATTTGTGACATAGATACAATGTTGTAAAATCATGTTAAACTCATCCTATTTTGAAACCATTCAGTACTTGTACATCGTTAACGTACTTACATTGTATGTTTAAGCACATGTTGGGCCCGAAAGTTTTAAGAGAAACCAAAGCATGAAAGGAAAGGTTTTAACGATTGATCATAGATATACTGACAAGGCTTGTTAACTGCTTTAACTCACAGTGGGTGGACGGCCATGGTGTGGACATTTCCTCAGTTGCATTACGAGCACTGGACTACTGAAATACCACATGTACAGTCAGTGTAATGTGTATTGAGCCTGATGGTGATTTCGATACTGACTTGCTGATTTTCAAGTTATTTTACATCAAACATTTAATTCCATCAATTTCGATCTTTACTCGTGTGAAAAGGAGGAATTGCATTTCTTTCTAGGTAACCTGGGAGGTCAGATGGGCATCTGTCTGGGAGCCAGTATCCTGACTCTCACAGAACTCGGAGAGTTCTTTCTCATACTCTGCCTGTCCATATTCAAACGAATGCAGAGAGGTGGAGAGATAACGCGTATTAAGCCCATCACCAAATGAAACAGACCGATCACCAAAACCATGATTCAAACTAACAATTTGAATTTAAGTCTTTAGTTCTTTTTAATTTCTTTCTGTTTCATTTTCATTTGTGTATGTGTTTGAGTGACATCATATGCTTATTATATAGTGGAAAGGCGAACGGACATATGTCTCAAATGATTTTGGGGTTTGTCAATTTATTTTTATTCACTTCACTTGGATACAATCATCTTTGTTTGATACATTCTGTAGACATAGTTATATAATGATACAATATAAGAAATGGCTTATCTCTTTGTTACAATTTGCAGTGAGAATAATGGTATATAAAAGAGGCACAATGCAGATAAGCTTAATGATTAAGATTATTCCATTTTCTCTCAGATAATTTGTCTCAAATGTTTCTTCAATTACATTCAATGTATGTACCGCACTTTATGCTTATATTTCACTCATATGATCTACCGTGTTTAAAACATTTGTACAGATGGATAAGCCTTTTCTATATTTGTCATGCATGACACTTGCAATGAACATAGATGACATGTCAAATGCATTTGGATAATCCTAAATGGATAGGGTGGTAAAATACTGAGGCTTTATTGATTGCACGTCATTAATGTTATTGTATTTTAATTGAGCGCTAATGATGCACGCAGCAAATCCATGGTTTAAACTCGATTGTATGTATGTCGACACCGTGGAACCATATTATGGCTGTGTGCGGCGTTAGTCAACAAAACATAAATCCATAAAGGGATGACAAAAAACCGCCTTGATGTGTTTGCAAACCTTTATGGTTTACTTATTTCATAGTGAACATGTCATTTTCGTCTTGTTTACTCTCAAATCAATTTTGCTTATAAATCAATAATATCGTTAACAGTTTTATGCCACCATCCGACTGTCAGCTCAGTTCGTTGACTAAACCCAAGTACAATTCATTCTGCACGAATTAGTGTGTGTGTTACAATGCTAGCTAATTCATACCACTCTTTGTGATGAAATAGCAAATCCTATATGAATTGATCGTCAATTGCTCGCAATAGGTTATATTCCCAACTTAATATGGTTTCATATTTGTCAGTACGATACCCGTTGTGATGGGAGAATGGAAAAGTCTAAAACAAATCAAAGCTTTGACATTCGCCTCAATTCATATTACTGACAGACTATTCAAAGTGATGTTACACCCAGCTCACTCACCAGTACCTATGAAACGTAAAGGGTATGAAAGAGTCCTTGTTCAATCTACGGATGTGATTATCTACATATACAAAGATATAATGTCAATGTTTACAAGCAAACAGTTCGTAAATTAGGACTAAGTACGTTTACCTTCCACTGCAAGGTTTAATCTGCACTTATTGGTGATATTAACCGACAAACATGAAGCCAGATTGATGAATAACATAGACAGGAAAACTAATCAATAAACCGTGAGCATAAGAAGAATATGTTTCCATGTGACGCTTCGTGGGTGGTTTTAGTGTCTCCTGGTGGCTTCTTGGTTTTTCTACTCACAACCAGTAACTGGTAATCTCTCCTAAATCCCGTGAATCCATTTTTGACATCACAGGCATTCATATTGTTGCAGTAGCTCCTGGAATTATGTCACATGTTAAATTAATCCCTATAAAATTATTACATATATGTAAGACAATTGGGACGATTATAGTAAAATGTCTTCCTCTATCAACTCCCTGTGCCTGAATTTTCTGAGCAAAGATGTATATACTGCACCTAGAGATATTGGCAAGTCCTAAAATCCCCAGACAATGTACAAACACTGATCAAACTTGAAATGTTTCATGGGTGGTTTCAGAACAAAACTGAAACTGAAAAATAAGTGGAAATGGTGATGACGAATTAAGCCTTGATGTTATTCCAGGCTATGATGATAAAAGGCTAATGGAGATATTAGAGAGTAAAATACTTTGGTTTAAACAAACTTATATATACAATCCACAAAATACCTGGTTCAATCATGATAAGAAATAAATATCTGATTGCATATTTGCCTAAATTCTTAACTACAGCTTGTTCAACTTGACCTGATCAAGTGAATACTAATGATTTGTGTGACCGTGTCACAACTGGTTGGGTATATTATTGTGAAGGGGTGCTCCTTTGTCAGATGATTGGCGTAAACGAGTGGAGTGATTGTTGTACCTATTGTTGAAAAATTGCAAAGCGACTATTGGGACAGAAATATTGCACTTGAACATGAAATAGAAAAAGTGATAACTGAAGTGTTGTTTTTCCGACAGGTTCTGTAACGAATTCATGTATGTATGCTTTCAAGGACACAAGACAGTAATATAACATTCTCTGCACCCCTATTTTATTAAGGTAACCCGATCTGCCGTTTGTGCCATATGACCCTCCCGGGTAATGCATGTATGTAGAGTAGCTATAGGTCAAGCTGAACAGGCTGTACATACTTATTAAAACACTATTTTACCAGATGTGTGGCAAACGGGATTGCTATTCAGCCAAATTACAAGAGAAAGGGCAAGTGCAGTGTTTCATACCTTTCATAAGTGATTGAAGCGTCTCAGAAATCATTAGACTTGTGCTCTGACTTGTCAACAACAGTGCTCGCATCATCATTGTAAGTCCTCACGACACTCAAGCGAACCTCCCATAACCAAGGTGAATAAAACTTAACCTAAGGCTATGAAATGAAAAGCTGGTGTTCTTTCACCGTTTTCAATGACGTCATGGTTACACGTGATAAACTGAATTTGTTGATTCAACTTTGAATAAAACCACCCAATTAAGTGTGTTAAATCGATATTGATGTGTGTATTTGATATATATATATTTCTGGTCGCCTTTCGAGAAAAGGCACACTGCCTACTTGGCAAGCCATTTGTCACTTTATAACGTGTCACTGAGGTTCGGAAAACAAACAAAATTACATTGTACTGAGTTATGATATTGTTTATTTTTAATATTATATAATTAAATCAGATATGTTTTATTTCAGACTCTCCGTTTTTGTGTGTGTAATTTCTTACAGTAGTTGAGGATTGTTCGTAATCTATGGCGGAACTGGGGGGAGGGGGTGTTAAAGGGTCACCTATTTTGGTCTGGGGAGGTAGGGGATCAGCAACATTGTACATAAAAATATCTAATCATTATACTTGTGGGGTCATTAAATTTGTACATGATATGCGGAGAGGGGCTGGGGCACTCATACATAAATTTTAGTGGGCGTTATACACATTTAACATGCTTCTCCATAAAATTCAATTACCTCACAAACACACACACAAACAAACTGTGGTTGCTCTTATGACTCATTACACTCCAATTTGAATAATTGTCGGCATAGACGTTGAACTGGGCTCTTTTTCGAAACGTTCGGTAGCCCTACGAACTTCTTAAGTCCATTATTGACACACATTGGCTACGATCAAAGGTTTAGAATTTTAGGATACGACCGTTTCGAGAATACGGGCCCAGTTTCCTTAGGGGACGACGGTCAGCTTACACTGAGGTTTTCGGCAAGTATGGTTCAATGACGTGAAGGCTTAAAACCAACATAAAGAAACGTTTTGAAGAGGAGGTCATCTATTACCTAATGCGTTTCCGTCAGAACTTTATGCTTCAGACAATGGATGCTAGTGAACGATTGTGATTGCCATACATACTTTAACCGCATGCATTATAGTTGAGCTTCAACAGGATTGATGGGTGAACAATTATAACTTACAAGTACATTGATTGCACTGACTTCTGACTGACTGAGTTTAGTTTTACGTCGTTTTCTTAGCAATATTCCAGCAATACCACGGCAGGGGACACCAGAAATGGGCTTAACACATTGTGCCCATGTGGGGAATCGAACCTGGTCTTCGGCGTGACGAGCCAACGCTTTAACCACTAGGCTATCCCCACCGCCCCACATTGATTGCATCGTATTACATGATTTGATGCACGACATTCAATGAAAATTTGAAGTTCAGTAAAATATCATTCCAATACAAAATCATCCTCATCTTTAGGATACTTTCTAGTGGAAATTCTCCTTAAAAACATAACATTTGAAGTCTCTGATTGATGAACTTGAAGCTACATGCTTGCAGTGCTCTTAGTGAATTATTGCCATCTGGGCAGTTGTGTATGATTATATGCGTGTATCACAGCACACAACCAAAGTCCGGGCTCCGTTGAAGGAGACTTCGTCATGAAGAGAGTCGGATATTCCAGAGTCAATCAAACATCTTCATTGTCACTTCAAGTAGTTCAACAGATCCATATCGCAGTTTTCAATGGTAATAGTATAGTTGTAGTTTCTGTTGTATGCGGACTGCTGCTGATATTACAACATATCATAAATTATCCTGTGTTAAATGAGTACCAAGCACTAGTTGCCTGGACATGTGCGCGCCATATAAATATCGTATAATAATAATAATAGAGTAATTTTTCTCTTGACGGCTCTGTTTTGGGACCTTAGGAACTTATCAACACTTTTGCACAGGGTTCATTAAGCGTCATCAGAATACCCAACGATAGCTACAATTTGAAAGAGTTTCATTTTAAGTCGGTCGTGGTTAAAATGTAGATACACCTCAACTGTTAGAAACAATAGAGGATTATTTAAATAGAATTTAGAGCCTTCGAAACATAAATTTGCACTAAGAAATAATGTGTCAAATGAGAAACAACGGAATAACATCACCTCTAATTTTGTTCTGACACACGAGATTGTTATTTTTGCAATGACCAGGATGTATCACAGTGGACAACAATGCTGTGTCTAAGTTGTTTCTACCCGTTTGAAGGCTCGGTGCAAGGCTTTGCAACAGCTGAGAACATCTGGTATTACCATCAGCCCAAACGTGTAAAAGACAGTAACATCTATTCCAAGTGTGCCAACATTCTGGGCACCTTTTTCTCTCGTCAGTTTACACTAGTGTATCGGCGTACAGTTTTCGACAAGGTTTTGGTGTCCAAGATGAGTTTTTCCCTTGATCTCTTCTGTGATTTCTTTCACTGCTTCTTCATCCAGCACTCCTCGAGACGACCACTCCTTGCAGTAGAGACAAAACGCATACACTTGAAGTAGAGTCTTGAGATTGTTAGTCTTCAAGGACACACTAGACGTAATTGCCCCCTGCAGCTGTGAATTCAGTGCCCAATGTAGTGACTATTGAAGGTGTAAGTCATGGCGAAACATCCTTTGGATCGGACTTTGTTGATACAGACGAGGGGATCGGTGGCATTTACATGTCTGAGATTTCAGTCTTGCAGGAGTGTTGATTCTGATGCTCCAATCCACGTTCAACGTCAGCTGACATTGTACTTGCTGCCATGCGATGATGCAGAGCCGATTCTTTGTTGGATCAGACTTGTTGATACAACTGCGAGATTTGGGACATTAGAGAGGCTTGCCATCGTTTCCGATATTGACGTTGTTGCATACGCATTTGTCGAAGACGTATGTAGTCCGGTCGCTGCATTTATTGCTTCTGTGGAAGGTAATTCAGTGAGCTAAATCTTTGAATTTGTGGTGATAAAAAAGTATCGGTGGTCTCAAAAGAAGGGGCACTTGTCTCTGGACTTTACTGACGTCAGTGTTGAGTATCTGGAAGAAAAAAACAAAACATTTTAAGTGTTGAAATGTATCGGGGAAAATCACCTTTATTCTGGCCGAAGTACCTGGAATAACACGGTCCTGTATGCAGCGCAGGATGCTGTGTTGCTGATATTGCTGGAATATTGCCAAAAGCATCGTAAAAAGCTAAACTCACTCATGCCGACTAAAAAATAATGTTGAATATTGGTGTTTCATAATGGTTTAGCCCGACGGCCGATAGCGTTCCAGAGTTACCTCCTTGACCGTTGTTTATGTGTTGACTGCGTCATGTCGTGGAGTTTCAACAGATTTCGGAAAGTTCTGAGTGGATAAGAACGTTCAAGAATTTGTGTCAGTATATACATGCTGGCTGTTGTGTTGTGCGACAAGGAATGACACAAAGGACTGACACACGGAACTGACACAATGGAATTACACGGGACTTTTATGTCACTACACGTTCTGTTTATGTTTCTGAC